CTTTAATCCCTCTTGATTCTGCAATTATGATTCTCTTAAAGAAAAGGTTATATTTTTCCCTAGGCGACTTATGCAATGTTCTTGGTGATATTCTTGTGGAAGTTGTCAACATATCGGATCAATATGCAGAATTGACAAGGCGTGAGATGGAAATGGAAATAATCCCACGGATCCTGACCGATAAAATGGAGCAGATTCGGAAAAAAATTGCAAAAGAATGATCAAATAGTTCTTCAGGCAGATAAGGGAGAGGCGACGGTTTTAATGGACAGGAAACAGTACACGGCGATAATGGAAAGTAGCCTTGACGACTGGAACACTTATCAAATATTAAGGAAAGATCAACGGGACATTGAAGAATATGTTCAAGGAAATGCTTATAAATGGGAAAATTGATAGATGGATAATGAAATCTTTAATCAAAAATGACGCAAGACCACCGACAGCTTACGGACAAGCGAAATTCATTTGCTTGAAGCTCAAGAAAGTAAATGACAGACTCTTGAATACCGTCAAGAATTCATATGAATTTTCTAAAAGGATCCAGAACATTGTTTTGGTGGGGTCGGAACTGTTGGTGAGTTTCGATGTACAATCCATGAACACAAACATCTCAGGCGAGAAGGAGGTAAGCGCCTTGCTGGAGATATTGGAGCGAGAAGAGGACTTCCTGGAGGCAGAACGGATACGGAAGGAGTCGTTAGCATGACTAATCAACCTGGCAGTTATGACAACATATTTTACATTTAAATGGCAGTATGTATCTACGAGCACATATTTGGACTACCGATGGGATCCCCGCTCTCACCTATTTTGGCAAATGTGTACATGGACAAGTTGGAAAGAGAATTCGAGAAGTCACCACTGCAACCAAGAGCGCTCATGCGATACTTGGATGACTACTTTGCACTTTGGTTACATCGTAAGGAAAATCTAAATGAATTCCTCAATTTTATTAACCAACTTGACGAAAGAATTAAATTTACAATGGAAATGGAGAAAGATAAACGACTACCCTTTCTGGATATTGACGTCATACGCTCCATAGGGACACTTATGAGGAAACTATACAGAAAGAATTCGTACGCGGTAATAATCCTTAATTTTCAGTCTCGTCATAACTACAGACTGAAGATCGGAATATTGAGGAGTTTGATCATCAGAAGCTTACGACTAACGGACAATGAGTTCTGGGACGAGGAGTTGAACAAACTGACACGGATTTGCCTTAGTAACGGATACCACAAAGCATTTGTAGAAAAAAATGTGAAGATTATAAAGGGCCAATTTTAACTTGGATTTTATGTAAATCAGATCAGGAATGAGAATAACAACCAAAAGTGGATTTGCCTGCCAACAATTGAGAGCTTTATTAGGAAAATGGAACATCAGGGTGATAATACAGGAGAAGAAAACACTTTTCACCGGTCTGCCGACGCAACACGAGAAGACTGACAAACTTGAATGCTCGGGAGTTTATCGCATCAAATGTGGAAACTGTTAGCAGGAAGAAAAATCGGCCTACGAATCAGGGAACATCAAAGACTCTGCATGAACATGGATACGGAATGATCCGAAATAGCGGAACGCGTTGCACGAAGGGGACAAGAAATCAACTGGAAATCGAAAGAAAAGCTGGCTGCATTTGGTGAAAATACGAGAATGCGCAAGATCTGAGAGGCCATCCAAATACTGACCGAGAGAAATCTAATGAACAGGAAACTTGTAGAGGGCATGATCAATGGAATCTTCACATATTGCCTAAATATTTTCGGAGAAGACCAGGAAACAGAAAGATGAAAAATAATAAGACGACAGGATCAAGGTAATATCCTTAATTTTAGGAAAATAAATCGCAAGGTGGTCAGAAAGGAACAATCAGAAGCCTAATCAAAACAAGTAGAACCACAACATTTTCGTGTTGGCACAAAGAGACTAGGGCATATAAACTCATTTTCTTCGAAAGTGAGTAGGTTTTCGAGACCACCATTAATCTGATTTACTGATAGTCTTGACAGCCTACTACTCACTCACGAAAAAAGTAATATCGTCGATTGCTCTAGCAAATTTAAGTTTGCTCTATCGACACTCCCAACACAGAATGTGATATGAAAAATGCCTGACTTTCCTTGAAATTCACATCTGCCCTGTGAGGCAAGGGTACTCGTGGCAATGTGGCGGAGTGGTCAACGTGTCAAGCTGATACGCCACACTATCATGCTTCGAGCCCCGCTGGGCTCGTGATGAAGAGGTTCGTAGGTCGATCTCACCAAAGGACGACGGCTGCTGCCTCGTGGACTACTTCAACCTAACTATCCTATTATATGCAAACGGCTTCAGAACAATGTTGTCTTCGGGTGGGATCGTCATGCACTTGCATACGAACTGAAAGTCGCTACTGCAAGACCATCTCAAGAGATTCATCGAGTCCAGTTCTGTATCTTTTGTACAGCCTTGGAATGTGCTCGGTATTCCAAAAAGCCACTTCACCCTGAATGGACTTCCAAAGTGCGTGCTGAAAGTGATGCTTCTCGCTTCACATATGGGATGCATATAAGATGTGTACATTGGTGTGGAAGTAGCTTTTATTTCGTTTGAAGGGCGACTGAAATGAATTCGTAGGTTGGCAGCGCCGGAAGCCAAAGGAGCATTGCCCATGTCCACCTGTGATTGTGGATTTGTGTGAATAAGCTCGCATCCATCCGTCCCTAGCTTCTGTCTGTCATTGGACGAAAATTGCAAGAGCAATTCGTGTCTGGTCAATTATCATAGAACATGCTGTCCTGCTTTTAACATGTCCATCACATGACGAATGAGAGCTCAGCGTGGATGTTTCGGGGTTTCGGGTAGGCAACCGATTCCCCTTTTGAATTCCGAAGGTACTCCAGCATCATTCTATTGAGGTATTCTTCAACAGCCAATTGTTCTATATAGGATTTATGTCTATGGAGAAACTTGTATTATTTATTATCATTGTTCATTTATAATTAATTCATTAACTATTTTTTATAGGTTATTTGACCTCGTTTTGGCAACTTGGTCATATTGGTAGGAAGACTTAGAGGGACGCACCCAGTCCGGAGTCTATTGTATGCATGATCATTTCCAGAGCAGGACCGTGGACGCGGTACATTACCACACATTTCGCCGGCATCGTCAGTGAGTCTCGTTATTCTTAGCACCACACAACAACTCGTCAAAGAGACAAGTGTAGCTAATCCTTTGACCAAACGTGTGCTAAACAGTTGTGATATCTCTCCTTCTGTCATACGCTATTCACATTTCCTATATCCTCCTATCACACCTTCACTGTTACACCAGCCTTGAGTGTGTATGGTTTTCATGAATACCGCTCAACGGAGCACACCACACTACATCGAAATAATCACAGTACAAATTGTAACAGTGAAGGTGTGATAAGAGGATATAGGAAATGTGAATAGCCCGGGAAAGAAGGGAAGATACCACAATTGTTTAGCACACGTTTGGTCAAAGGATAGGCTTCATTTGTCTATTTGACGAGTTGTTGTGTGGTGCTAAGAGTGGCGAGACTCACTGACGATGCCGGCGAAACGTCTGGCAATGTACCACGTCCACAATCATACGCTGGAAATGATGATGCATACAATGGACTCCGGACTAGGTGCGTTCCTCTAAGTCTTCCGACCAACATGACAGAGTTGCGAAAACAAGGTCAAACAACCTCTATATAACGAAACGAGACTGCGACCACACAAAAGGATATGTCATGTTGGTCTTTATACATTTAACTATTTTTTAATTTTTTAATCAACTCTGTTTTTTTATTCGACTTTCATTAACTTTTCACTTTATAACTCACTTCTCGATTTGATGGTAGTTTTGATGTGCTTCTTTTCTTCGATTGTGCTAATGCATTTGGCTGGTACCTCTCGCTCATCGTCCCTTCATTTTGTTTCCTTCCCGTTTTTCGCTCAACTCATCCAGGTCGCATCCTTCAGGTGATCTTCGGACACCACAATGTGGTCACGTGTCTGGCGAGATCCGAATGCAATCTCAGCCAGCGCTACTATTTGGCTTCAGGTGGTGCAGACGCAATTGTGATGCTCTGGATTTATAGCGATCAGCACATGCTAGTGCTCAACGACTCAGGTGGGAATTTTGGTGTTCTCCTTTGTTGTCTACAAGCTTGATAATTTACTTTTGCTTGCATTCCTTCGTTTTGGCCACCATTTCTTGCGGATCTTTGGAAGTTGCCGTACATTTTTCTCTATTTGGCCCCTGTACTTTTGTTTTGGTTAATTAAACCTGTCTGCCTAACCGACCAGTCATTAATCAGGTGGAAGGCCGCTCAGATTAGGGTTAGGGTTAAGGTTAAGGTTAGGGTTAAGGTTAGGGTTAAAGTTAGGGTTATGGTTAGGGTTAGGGTTAGGGTTAGGGTTAGGGTT